TAGAGCGACAGTCCATCAGTCCAAGAAACAATACTGTATGTGCTTCACCAACAAAAAAATCATCTTCATAAACAAAACAATGCTTCATGTCCCAGACCAGGTCCGGGAGGAGCTCAACAGGGTGATAGGGAGTCGTCAGGTGCAAGTCGTGTTCAGGAAGAACCTGCCCTTCACTGACGCTGTCATCCATGAGACTCAGAGACTGGCAAACATTGTCCCCATGGCGCTTCCTCACAAAATGAGCCAAGACGTCACTTTCCAGGGTCACTTCATTAAAAAGGTCGGACTGAAACAAACCAATAATATGAATGACCCACCTTGACTGAAAACAACAAATTAAAGAGATGAGAATAGAGAAATCAATCAAAAGATTGACATATTAATGAACAGGTATTCATTAAGGAGTGAACAGGTGTTGGTTTGATGGTTATGATATTCACCATGGGGTGTCAGAACACACAAGATCAAATAACTTGTCTCTTCTTTACTCTATTTTCTTGTCACAGCAGCAGAGTATTGCAACAAAACAGGCGAAGAGTTTAAAGACTCCTGTTGTTTAACATGTAAATGCTTTTCAATCTCTGTGTTGTCTGCAGGGGACCACAGTGTATCCTCTCCTGACATCTGTCCTGTATGATGAGACCGAGTGGGAGAGACCACACTCCTTCTATCCTGCCCACTTCCTGGACAAAGATGGGAAGTTTTTTAAGCGAGATGCCTTCATGCCTTTTTCTGCAGGTTCATGAGCTCAACCATCTTTTCTTACTCATGTTCACTTATTGGCAGATGATGTGAACATTTTCCTTTGTTATCTCTCGCAGGTCGCAGGGTTTGTCCTGGAGAGGGTCTGGCCAGGATGGAGCTCTTCATCTTCTTCACCACCCTCCTGCAGCACTTCCGTTTCACTCCTCCACTGGGAGATTCAGAGAATGAATTGGATCTGACACCACGTGTTTGCTTAACTGTCAGTCCTTCACCCCACAAACTGTGTGCTGTCTCCTGTATGTGAGCAGTAGGCTTCTGTAAATTAGAGCCTTTTAGCTTTTTCTCTTTTTTTTTTTATTTTTTGAAAGATTTAATGAGAACAAACCTGGTTTAACATTTGTGGAATTTATGGGCAATGTGACACTTGAATCTACATTACTTTAATCTGATTTATATTACTTGAATCCACCGACAGTAAAACTGAAGGAGATTAGTTAAATATATATGATGCCTTTAAAGCAACATCTGATCATCAGGTGATGTCACACAAGCATGTGTCTGCTTTAAGAACTGAATTTAAATAATTCCCATTACTGGTATGTTTTGATAAAGAGGGCTTCTTTTTATTTGCTGTCTGAGGGACACAGTCCCACCCATGGGTAGAGCAGAACTCCTGAAATGTTTCACACAGAAGGCAGTTTGTACTCACTTTTAGAATCTGAAAAAGTTTTTTAACTCAGGGAACAAACATCCTCTCTTTGCACATAACTCCACAGATTACATGACTGTACCTTTTTTTTGCAGCCTTCTTAAAGGGTCCATGGCGCTTTTTTTGTTTTCTGACTTATCTACAATGTTACAAAAGTGAATTATCATCTTAGACGTGACCTAAATCTCAAAAAATAAGCTGTACGTATCTTCTATTATTTCTGTAAAGGGACTCGCTGTTTTACCTGACCAGTAATAACCTACAAGCAGCTGGGCTGTGAAGGCACCACAGCGGTGAATGATCAGCTCATCAACGCTGGATTCCCCTGGACCACAGTTCCTGTTTGTTTTGACTGCTTGAGGCCAGTGAGTCACTCTGAACTACATGTTTCACCTGAAGTGTGTTGTTCATTTCAGCTTCTAGACATGACCTGGTACACCATTTAGTGTTAATATCAAATATAAATGTATCTGATATACAGAGACCCTTAGTGATGACGTATATTTTTGTAGGCCAACCCAGAAGTTAGCATCTCCCTGGTTCCCTCGATAAAAAGCAAGTGGGATTTTTCCATAGGATTCTGGATTATTGCAGGAAATAAGCTCTGTGACAAACAATAGTTTATCACAGTTACACATTTTGTTCAGCAAGATAATCATCACAAGTGAACACCACTCAAGAATTAAATCCTTCTTTTCTATGAAGAACCTGGAAACTGTCACACATACCTTCATTTTATTTCAGTTAAATTATTAAAACTCATTCCTGTCAACACAACCTGTTCAAGCTCCAACTAGCCCAGAATACTGCTGCTGGGCTTCTTAGTAAACCAAAAAAAAAAACCCATATAAATTCACTCTGGCCACCCATCCTTAAGCTTTCATTTAAGGCACTCGTGGACTTGGTTCCTGATTGTATCTTTGAGCTACTAACCCCTTATGGACTCGTATGCAGTCTGATATCTCTTGTTGGAGGGAAATTGGTGACACTCAGGTCAGTGGCCTTTGGTGTCAGGATTGACATTAGAATAACTGGCTGGAGGAGACCAGACAGGCTGCCTCTGCTCCAGCTTCTAAAGCTCTCTGGAAAACATTTTAAAAACAGCCTTTTCTTGAGTGGTTATATTTTTTTATGTTCTGTCATTATGTTTTTATTTTACGGTTGTGTTTTTTATTAAAATATGTTTTTATATTTCTTGTTTTTTAAATAAATTTTTGGGTTGATTTCACCTTTAATATATATATATATACACAAACTAGGTCACTAAGAGGTGGACAGGAAATGGGGGAGAAAGATGGGGAGACTGTCAGTCCGCTCGGCGCGACCTACCTCTCCTCTGCCTTTCTCTCTCATGCTCGCTCTTTTTGCAGGACCAGCACCTCAGCTGTGTCGCATTTTGTAATTAGTGACTTGTGGGTTGTCGCGCACAGCTGGGGCACATTACTGTAATCGCCCTCCTACCTTATTTATACCTCTGGCAGACGCTCTGCCCTCGCTGGAGCATTAATGTGCATGCTCTGTAACAGCCCTATAGTCGTGGTATGTATTTGTATGTCATTTTGTTTTCCCACACTGACAGTTCCTGTGCTGTGGACCTGTTTGTTTGTTTGTTTTGTCCAAGTAGCTAGACGCTACTTGTTTTATCCAAGCTGACAGTTCCTGTGCTGTGGAAAACCATTTTGTTCACCTGTCCTCATGGTTAGCCTGTCTATTCACCTGTCCATCCTCAACCTCCTCCTCTCCTGGTTTCTGCCGTTACACTGTCTACTCCGTTGGTTGTCCTGTTCTCCTCCGCTGTCTTACTGCGGTCAAATCAGCCGCCATTCAGTTTTCCGTGGTCAAGCCAGCCGCGCTAGAATTTGAAGTGTGCCTATATACTCTATATACTTACATTTACGTTAAAGGTATTGAAACAGGCTAAAGCTCGCGATTTTCAAAATAAAATA